GTGGCCTTTAGTGAGGCCTCCCGGTGGCCTTTAGTGAGGCCCCTGGTGGCCTTTAGTGAGGCCTCTCGGTGACCTTTAGTGAGGCCTCCCGGTGGCCTTTAGTGAGGCCTCCTGGTGGCCTTTAGTGAGGCCTCTCGGTGACCTTTAGTGAGGCCCCTGGTGGCCTTTAGTGAGGCCCCCCGGTTTGAGAAATGTGACATCACATCAAAATGCGCTACTTTAAATATAAACAACACGTTCTACTTGATTAAATATAATTGTTATAACACAAATTTTGATAAATTTTCATTATTAGCTATTTTATTATTTAAATTTACTAAGGTCACCTTTTATTTATTCCATGAAGGAGCATTTAGCTTCTCCATGGGAGAATGGAGAAACGCAATTTTTTTGAATGATTGTTATTAAACATTTTGCTTCTAATGATTCTACCAGGGCTTTTCATTCTTTGGAATGAATATATGATTGTTATAATTGTACTCTGCATTTTGCTTTGTTCTACTATGAAGTTTCAAGTATTATTTTAGTCATAATTACTTATATTTGATAATTATAAGATAGTTTCACGTTGCATTTTTTCAAGTGAATTTTGTGCAAAATTTCAGCTTTTTTAATACGTGTTTTCTCCTACAACATCAGAGTGCAGCGCCACATTAAATACGCACTACAATGACAATAGTTTAAAGTGATTTGAAGCATGTTTTATTTATAAAATGGAAATATGGTTGGGGGGGGGGCAGAGCTTTGTGACGTCATATTTGAGGGGGGGTCTGACTTTTTGTGACGCCGTGTGACGTCATTTATGGACGGTCCCAAAGGCGGCAGGGCGTGGTGCTGGCCACCCACTCCCTCGTGTGCCACAGTGCCAGCCCTCGGTGGTGCTGCTCGCTAACAGCACTTGCCCCGACGGTCTGTGAAGGCTACACGGGGGATCTTTGTCTTCTTTGGAGTGGTGGGTTTCCGGATCACGGCCACCGGCCAACACGGGCGACGATTACCACCTCCCTTTAGGTCGGCTCGGCCTCAAGTGAGCGAGCTTTGCGCGGCGGGGTGTCCTAAGCTAAACATCGGCACTGGGGGAGACAAAGGCGGCCGGGCGCGGTGCCGGCCACAACCACCCCCACGTGAGCCGTATTCGTGGGTGCTGCACGCCGGCTGCACTTGCCCCAAACGGCCCATTGAAGGCTACACGGGGGACCTTTGTCTTCTGCGGGTCACCACAGCGCCATAACTCTGTGCCATTTGGCAAAGCGCGCTCGGAATGAAGTGCGCGGAGTAGGGGGGGGGGCAACACCACGTGACCGCGTTATAGAACACGTGACACATCGACGGAGAAGCGTGCAGGACGATGTCAAGCCAGTCGAGCCGCGGCACACGGCTGGGTCTGGCTCGTGACCTCCTCCTGCACCTAGCCTGGTACAGCAGTCAACCCATGACACTGGCTGGGTCTGGCCCATGACCTCCTGCCAGCAGCGAGCCTACGACACTTCACACGTTACGGCCACAAAGTGCACCTAGCCTGGCACACAGGTGTCGTGGCCACTTAGAGACCCCGAGGCCGTGAACTATCGTGGGCCGTGCGATGTTGGAGGCCAGTGAGCGCGGCTTCTCTCGTTTGTCTTTGTTGCTTCAAGAAATGAGTGCGGAGATGTGTGTGTTTTTTGGTGAATTCACCCTGCGTTGAAATACACCCGTCAATGTCACGCAAATGCACGTCTCGGACGACTTCAATGTTTGGTCGTTGTTTTGCGACGCGCTATGTGCACACTCCAACCTCCTCTTGTTGTCACCCTGAGGCCCCCCTATCAGGCCCTCGGTCCGGGCCGTGTCTGCGGGGCGTTCGCGACGGGACCCGGCGCCACGACACGGAACCTCCGCCGCCCCCTGTATGTCCCTCCAACGCCGCCTCCCTTCTTCCCACCATGAAGAATCAAGTGGGAAATTGTCGCAAGTTTACTCGACAATTTCAGCGCTTCTCCTCGCACCCCCCCTCCACCTGCCCCCCCCCCCCGACTCTTTGCACTGATCCACAGGTGCGGTTCGTCCTCCACCAAGCAGCTGGTGATGAGAAATTATTTTTCAAATAAAAAATTTTTTCTACAAATTGTTTTGTTGCGTTTAAACATTTTTCCAAAATGGTCTCGCCACTGCTAAGGCGTCCGAGTGAGAGATTCCCCTTCCTTCATTGCGATTAGCTTCGAGCATTTCAGCCACGCCGTTTGAGACGCCATTCAGGGCGGTGAAAATGGCGCCCATGGCTGTAATGACGACGTCACAAGGCGAAGTTGCGCTGCGTCAATACAGCAGCAGGCCACGGCTTCCGGCAGTGTCGAAGATGTGGTGTCGGGTGGATTTGAGGGTTGAGAGTCATGGGGACAGTATTTGAGAGCTTTGTTATTTTGTTTCGTATTCATATTCTTGGTTTTTTCGGTAAAGTCACGTAGAAGGGAAATAAAAAATAAAAAAAACATAATTCTCACGACGTTTCGGCCACAACACAAGCAGCCGTCCTCAGGTGAAAAAACAGCTGTCGGAAAGACGGCGCTCCAATGATAGCTCTGTTCTTCACCTGGGGACGGCTGCTTGTGTTGTGGCCGAAACGTCGTGAGAATTTTATTTTAGTATGTTTTATTATTATATTATTTCCCTTCTACGTGACTTTACCGAAAGAACCAAGCATATGAATCCCTGCAGTCACGAAAGCTTTAAATCGAAATTGTTTCGTATTGTTTATAAAAGTCTACCGTTGATAGATAACACAGTTGCATCACTTTCACGGGATGCTAATAACACGACGAGGTTTTTCTTAATTAGGACACCGTCTCTTCAGAGGTCACTCAGCCCCACCTAGTGGAGATGTCACGAGGTACAGCGGGATGTGTCAGATAAGTTCTCTGGCACGGCCCTCTCTCCCTCTCGCTCCCGATCTGTTTCGCTCTCACACACGCCATGAGCGTGGTGAGACTCATCTACTTACGAACATTCGACTTGCGAACTTTCAGAGATACGAACAAACCTCGTCCGTACGTCCAGTTGCCTGTTTGGACCGAGAGTCGTAAGTTCAACCACCGCACAATTGATGGCGGTGGTGGCATCTACATCTGCAGAACGTGAAGAACCAGTGGCATCTACATCTACAGAAAGTGAAGAACCAGTGGCATCTACATCTGCAGAACGTGAAGAACCAGTGGCATCTACATCTACAGAAAGTGAAGAACCAGTGGCATCTACATCTGCAGAACGTGAAGAACCAGTGGCATCTACATCTGCAGAACGTGAAGACCCAGTGGCATCTACATCTGCAGAACGTGAATAACCATCTGCAGAACGTGAAGAACCAGTGGCATCTACATCTGCAGATCGTGAAGAACAGTGGCATCTACATCTGCAGAACGTGAAGAACCAGTGGCATCTCTATCTGCAGAACGTGAAGAACCAGTGGCATCTACATCTGCAGAACGTGAAGAACCAGTGGCATCTACATCTGCAGAACGTGAAGAACCAGTGGCATCTACATCTGCAGAACGTGAAGAACCAGTGGCATCTACATCTGCAGAACGTGAAGAACAGTGGCATCTACATCTGCAGAACGTGAAGAACCAGTGGCATCTCTATCTGCAGAACGTGAAGAACCAGTGGCATCTACATCTGCAGAACGTGAAGAACCAATGGCATCTACATCTGCAGAACGTGAAGAACCAGTGGCATCTACATCTGCAGAACGTGAAGAACCAGTGGCATCTACATCTGCAGAACGTGAAGAACCAGTGGCATCTACATCTGCAGAACGTGAAGAACAGTGGCATCTACATCTGCAGAACGTGAAGAACCAGTGGCATCTCTATCTGCAGAACGTGAAGAACCAGTGGCATCTACATCTGCAGAACGTGAAGAACCAGTGGCATCTACATCTGCAGAACGTGAAGAACCAGTGGCATCTACATCTGCAGAACGTGAAGAACCAGTGGCATCTACATCTACAGAACGCGAAGAACCAGTGGCATCTACATCTACAGAACGCGAAGAACCAGTGGCATCTACATCTACAGAACGTGAAGAACCAGTGGCATCTACATCTACAGAACGTGAAGAACCAGTGGCATCTACATCTGCAGAACGTGAAGAACAGTGGCATCTACATCTGCAGAACGTGAAGAACCAGTGGCATCTCTATCTGCAGAACGTGAAGAACCAGTGGCATCTACATCTGCAGAACGTGAAGAACCAGTGGCATCTACATCTGCAGAACGTGAAGAACCAGTGGCATCTACATCTGCAGAACGTGAAGAACCAGTGGCATCTACATCTACAGAACGCGAAGAACCAGTGGCATCTACATCTACAGAACGCGAAGAACCAGTGGCATCTACATCTACAGAACGTGAAGAACCAGTGGCATCTACATCTACAGAACGTGAAGAACCAGTGGCATCTACATCTGCAGAACGTGACGAACCAGCAGCATCTACATCTGCAGAACGTGAAGAACCAGTGGCATCTACATCTGCAGAACGTGAAGAACCAGTGGCATCTACATCTGCAGAACGTGACGAACCAGCAGCATCTACATCTGCAGAACGTGAAAAACCAGTGGCATCTACATCTGCAGAACGTGAAGAACCAGTGGCATCTACACCTGCAGAACGTAACCAGTGGGAACTACATCTACAGAAGATTAAACAACTTTTAACGCCATTCATCCCTGTTTAGTGTACACGCCGTACAACACGTTTGGAATCGACAGGAGTAAAGTTCGGACTTACGAACAAATCACTTACGAACAGACCTCCGGAACCTAACTCGTTCGTAAGTCGAGGAGTCCATGTTACCAACTTGCATAAATATCTCAACAAGACAAAGCACGGTGGCTCTGTCCGCTAGCACGACGCGACTTGCCGTGCCGCTCCCCGTGAGCCTTGAAGTGGGGACAACCCCCCTCCAACCCCCTCCCCCCACCCCCCGGGTCGTCGTGGACAAATCGACGCGGCATCCCATGCGTAACTATTTTATTGTACAGCGGGTATCGCGCGAGCGACTGCATGCATCGCAGAAGGGGACCGTCGGGATCGTGTTTGCGGGGCTTGGCACTGCGTTTGGTTCCATACTCACCCCCCGCCACAAGTTCACACATTTGAAAGTAACAACTCCTGGCTGTCCGCCTGATGATGCTGCTTTTTGTAATTACTGACGAAACGTCACGGCTACTCGAACTGTAAACGTTGTAGTGGGTTCACTCTCCAACACACCGGCTAGTGCTCTACTAGCAACGAATTGGAACGTTTCATTTACGTGACAAACCTTACGAATTGGCCGCGTCGGGCGGTGGCGGGTTTAACGACACATTCATACTTACGCGATCTGACCCCAAAAACAACCTCTGTTATGAACGGCCGATCGATTTGACTCGAGCACACGAAACGGGATGTCGTGTACCGTGTACGGTGGTTCAGTAGTCCCGGTGAAGGCGCCCAACGTCGAGGCAACGTTGAGATGCGGTGGGGAAAACGTTGGGCCAATGTTGACATGTCGTTGTAATCATCGGACTAAGGTTGGCCCAACATTCTGTGTTTATTGGAAATCTAGTAAACATGCCAATCTAGTAAACATGCCATCCTTGGTCCAATTTTGCCATGTGGTTGTTTGTAGCCAATGTTGGCTTCCCAAATAAGCATTGAATCTTGGCCCAACGTTGGCGCATCGTTGGCTTCCCAGTAAGCATTGAACGTTGGCCCAATGTTGGCATGCGATTTGACCCGTTGGCCAAAAATTGGCCCAACGTTTGTGCACAGTTATCTGCGGTGTGACCCGCAGCGCGCTCGGTAATTCAATCCGTCCATAGATTACCGGTAATTTCTTCAAACGTGGCCTGTCGCGGGCTTTGACCGCCAAGCGACGACGCACTATAGAAGTAAAATCGTTGCATCACTCGCGAGAGTGGCTGGGGCAGGGGGGGGGGATGTCGCCAACTAAAACAACATGATGAAAAAGATGAAGAAGAGGCAGAAGAGGAAGAAGAGGAAGGGACATTTTTTGTTCGAATTCGGTAAAAAAAAACTGGACTCAATATTCCAAGAGCCACAATGCACTGCGGGTGAATAGGAGACTGGCAGCGGTGGTGCTGAATAAATAAATAAAGTCCCGGAGCCGCCGGTTGCAGAGCCGCCCGCTGTGGCTGGGGGATGAGGCCACTCGATAATGTGGAGCGGACACTTTTAATTTGGCAATCTGTGGCGTTTCGTTCGTTGAGTTGGCACAAAGATCCTCTCCCCCCCCCCCCGTGTAGCCTGTAACAGACTGTTGGGGCAAGTGCTGTTAGCGAGCACCTATTAAGGCCGGCACGGCACGCGAGGGGTGGTGGGTGGCCAGTAACCACGCCCGGCCGCCTTTGTCTCCCCAGTGGTGATGTTTACTACACACCGCACCAGGCCCAGGACCGGTTCAGAGATAATCGTCACCGGTGTTGGCCGTGAGCGGGAATCGAACTCGGGTCGCTGGGTTCGTAGCGCTAACCGCTGTGCCACCGCTCCCCATGAGTTGCCACACACAAACGCACCCACCCACGCGCACGCACGGGCAGCGCAGTAACAGACCGGCGAATTCATTTGTCTCAAAACTCACGCAATGGAAGGTGACAGCAGTGTATATACAAATAACGTCACGGAGAGCGGTCCTTAAATAGCAAACAGTGCCCTACTATACACACAGTACGGCACTGTATACCCGCGCGCGACATTTCGCCACGACGTCCGACGTTTCGCCCCCCCCCCCCCGCGTGTGTCCCAGGAGCTCTGAAGCCCCAAGAGGTGGTCGGTCAACCCACACGTCCTTGTGGGTGAAGCAATGCTCCCAGAATGCATTTCGCGGGCACAGGTCAGAGGGTGCCGAGGCCAATTAAGCGTCGGGCACGAATTGGGGCAGTTGGTCGCGTGCGAGACGGTGAGCCTGACGAACCCAGTAGACATTCCAACGTCGGCTCAACGTTGGAATGCTTTCAGTTGCTTACTGGGTTTCCAGTAAACGTACAACGTTGGCCCAACGTTTGCCCAACGTTCCAAAGTTTCCCGTGAACGTCAGCGCTTGCGTTCGAGCACGCGGTTGGAACCGTTCTAAGTTCACCGGGAAGCTCCCAGCACGTGGTTGGAACGTCGCGACGTCAACGCCGAACGACGCGCGGGGGGGGAAACCACCAGAAAAATGCGCCGGGGGGGCCGGGGGGGGGGGCTAGGGGGTGGGGGGCAGGGTGACATGGGGCGGGGGGAGGGCAGGGGGTGGACCGCCACCATTTCCACACACAGGGCCCCCCATCGCGGCGCGAGTCAAAACGGTCCCGGACGCAGCGACGGAATGCGCCGAGTGGGGGTCGCGAGCGCGCTCTGCAGCGCAAGCCGACGCGACACGTCACCACCACGACCACGAGCGAGAACCTCTCACGGCACATCAACCGGGAGGAGGGTTGACCCCTGGGACCGACGTCAGACTGTCCACGGATGGGCCGGCTGGCCGGCGTGGGCGGGCGGGCGGGCGCTCTCAAGCCTTTCCTGGGTATGCCGAGGCTTTCTCCTTCAGTTGCTCCACGCACATGTGGCAGCTCCAACTCCCTGCAAAGAATCATCGGAATATTTATTTAGACTGCGGGAGGAATCCGATGAGCTATAAAGTGTGTTCCCCCCCCCCCCACCCCCACAGATGTCCAGTAAGGGGCACGGGGTAAGAAGGTTACACCGACAATCAATATAAAAAAAACACGACAGTGGTGAAAAGTACAAGAAAGGTAAATAAAATCACCCAAACACCGACACAGACAACACTGAACCATCCCCATGTGACCTGGCCACCACAAATGATAGCACACCAAAGTGGACAAAATGCATCCATTCTAGATTTGAAGCTTTCGTGACTGCAAGGATTCATATTCTTAGGTTTTTTCGGTAAAGTCACGTAGGTAAAACATTAAAATTAATAGAAGTAAAATAAAATAAAAATCACGACGTTTCGGAGGCAACACAAGCTTCCGTGTTCAGGTGGAACCGTCACAGCACGATACAGCTCCGAAACGTCGTGGATTTTTATTTTATTAATTAATTTTTTTTACCTACGTGACTTTACCGAAACAACCTAAGAATAAAAATGCATCCAGCCGAGGTCACACCGAGCGAAAGTTGCCCGGCAACAGCGTTCCCACAACAGGGTTGCCCACAATAAAGTTGCCCGCAATGAAGCTCGATCACGTAAATATGAATGTGTCGTTAAAACGACCACCGCCCGACACAGCGAAGTAGTAAGCTTTGTCACGTGGAACAAAGCGTGCCGATTCGTTACTCGTAACAGCACTCACCGGTCGCGTGTTGGAGAGCAAATCCACGACAATATTTACAATTCGAGTGGCCGTGACGTTTCGGCCACCGGTATTTACAACAACAACGAGCAGCAGCAGCATCATCATCACGCAGACAGCCAGAGAGTTGTGGAGATGGGATGGTGGGATGAATGCGATGTCGTCACTTGTGAGCCAAGTGCGAGTCCCGGCAACGCTGAATCATCACAACGCAGTCCGTCTCCCCGCGCAAAACGCGACCACTTCCTGAGGTTGCGGTGTTAAAATAAGCGACAGGGGAGAGTTGGCCGCACGGCACTCGGTCGGCCGGCGTTGTCGGGCGTGGGCCCAGGGAACGTCTGGCAGCTGGGGTGACTCCCTGAGCCGTGGTCGTGTTGGAGTGCTCGTGTTGGAGTGGTCGTGTTGGAGTACTCGGGTCGGAGTGGATGTGACGGAGAGGTCGGGTCGGAGCGGTCGTGCACACTCCGTCATCGCCGCCGCTGTGGGACGCGGGCTACGTTCCTAACCGCTAACACTACCGCTCCCCACTCTCACACTCACTCTCACACACACTCACTCTCACACTCACTCTCAGACACACTCACTACCTCTTACTCTCACACACACTCCCTCTCACACATTCATTCTCACACACACTCACACACTCACTAACTCTCACTCACACACTCTCACACACACACTCACACACACTCACTCTCACACTCACTAACTCTCACTCACACACACTCCCTCTCAAAACAAAGATCATTTGAGGCTGAGTCGACCTTGGGGAGGCCCAGGACCGGTTCAGATAATTGTCACCGGTGTTGGCCGTGAGCGAGAATCGAACCCGGGTCACCAGGTTCGTAGCGCAGAGTAGCGCTGACCGCTATACTTCCACTCCCCAACACACACAGACACACACAGTCACACACACACAGACACACACACAGACACACACACACAGACACACACACACAGACACACACACAGATCCACAGACACACACACACACAGACACACACACACACAGACACACAGACACACACAGACACACAGACACACAGACACACACACAGACACACAGACACACACACACACAGACACACACACAGACACACACACAGACCCACAGACAGACAGACACACACAGACACACACATAGACACACACAGACACACACACACAGACACACACAGACACACACACCAGACACACAGACACACACACAGACACAGACACACACAGACACAGACACACAGACACACACACAGACACACACACACACAGACACAGACACACACACAGACACACACACAGACACACACACACAGACACACACACACAGACACACACACAGACACACACACAGACACACAGACACACACAGACACACACACACACACAGACACAGACACACACAGACACACAGACACAGACACACACACACACACACAGACACACACACACACAGACACACACACAGACACACACACACACAGACACACACACAGACACACACACACACAGACACACACACAGACACACACACAGACACACAGACACACACACACAGACACACAGACACACACACACTGACACACACACACACACAGACACACACACACAGACACTGACACACACACACATCCATCTCATCTTGCACCAAGAGCCGCTGACGCAAGGCGGCTCTCGCCATGCGGGCGGCGTAAAAATAGCGGCTTCGTTACCCCCCCCCATCACATCTCCTCCTCCTCCACGCTTCGGCATTATTCATTTGCACCAATTAACGGGGTGTCTGCTGTAAAGCGGCACTTGCAAGCGAGGTGGCAATGATTTTGCCAATTAAACCTCGGTGACATTTGGCGTGAAATGAGCCCCCGGCTCCTCGCCCGCTTGGGTGGTGGCAGCGGCGGCGGCGGTGGTGGTGGTGGTGGCGGTGGTGGTGGTGGTGGCGGTTAATGAATGCCGACACCAAGTTGGGCTGCCTCCCTGCTGCTCACAAATTAAATGAGCTTCGGGGTGGATTGTGGGTGTTTTTTTAGTATGAGAGAGAGTGAGTGTGAGAGTGAGCGGTGGTGTAGCGGTTAGCGCTACGCTGCGCTACGAACCCGGCGACCCGGGTTCGATTGCCGCTCACGGACAACGCCGGTGACGATTATCTGAACCGGTACCTGGGCCACCCCTAGGTCGACTCAGCCTTGAATGAGTACCTGGTGCGGTGCGTAAACATCGCCACTGGTGAGACAAAGGCGGCCGGGCGTGGTGCTCGCCACCAACACCCCCTCGTTTGGCTGTGCCGGCGTTTATAGATGCTTGCTAACAGCACTTGCCCCTACAGTCTGTTAAGGCTATAGGGGGATCTTTGTAATGTTTTGTGTGTGTGTGAGTTAGGGGATAAGATGTGTGTGTGTGTGGTGTGTGTGTGTGTGGTGTGTGTGTGAGTTAGGGGATGACACGTGTGTGTGGTGTGTGTGGTGTGTGTGTGTGAGTTAGGGGGTGGTGAGAGTGTGTGTGGTGTGTGTGTGTGAGTTAGGGGATGACACGTGTGTGTGGTGTGTGTGGTGTGTGTGTGTGAGTTAGGGGGTGGTGAGTGTGTGTGTGGTGTGTGTGTGTGAGTTAGGGGATGATACGTGTGTGTGTGCGTGTGACTCAAGGAGCATAAACCATCATCGCGTGAACTCCGGTCATCCGCGCAGCGGCGGCTTTACGCTCGGCCTAAAGACGGTGGTCACCGCGACATCGCGCGGCGCCTTCGGATGCCGTCTGGAACGCTCCTCCTTCCAACATTAGCAAGCCGCTGGGAGCTACGGCACTTGCAACTCATCTCGATTGACGAACCCCTTTCTTTATTTCTTTAGAACTGCTTATCGCGTTCAGTTTGCTGTTCCTCCGATCGGCGCGACCGGCTGCGTGCGTCGCGAAGGGAGTTGAACGTACGTGCGTGCCTAGGCAGCGCCGCGGATGATCTGTGGCAAGATGCGTGTCGCCAACGCGCGGGGCGCCTGCGACGCCGGCAGGGAGATGCTGCCGCCTATGCCACGAGATCCGCGCCACGGCTTGAGCCGGAGCTGTAATCCACGGCCATTGCAACAGCAATGGGGAGGGCAGCTGTTCGAGCTATTATTATTATTATGACTACGCTTTTTAGTTCACCAGGTAAAGCCCACTGAGCTATTTAATAGCTCTATTTCAAGAGGCGACCAGGCAATCACAAATGATAGCTCAACAGAGTGGCCAAATACTCTGTGAACGCGTGATGTTATACTGAATGTGGAGGGGAAAAACTGGAGGACCCCGAGAAAAATTAACGCGACCACGGGGAGAGAGAGAGACACGCAAACTGCTAATATACAGCAGCAGCAGGCGTCAGGGTCGGGATCGAACCCACGACCTCCTGCGTACCAGGCGAGGTAGTTAACATCTCCTAGCCACCGTGATGATGATGAGAGAGAGACACGCAAACTCCAAATATACAGCAGCAGGCGTCAGGGTCTGGATCGAACCCACGACCTCCTGCGTACCAGGCGAGGTAGTTAACATCTCCTAGTCACCATGATGATGATGAGATAGAGACACGCAAACTCCAAATATACAGCAGCAGGCGTCAGGGTCTGGATCGAACCCACGACCTCCTGCATACCAGGCGAGGTAGTTAACATCTCCTAGCCACCGTGATGATGATGAGAGAGACACGCAAACTGCAAATATACAGCAGCAGGCGTCAGGGTCTGGATCGAACCCACGACCTCCTGTGTACCAGGCGAGGTAGTTAACATCTCCTAGCCACCGTGATGATGATGAGAGAGAGACACGCAAACTCCAAAAATACAGCAGCAGCAGGCGTCAGTGTCGGGATCGAACCCACGACCTCCTGCGTACCAGGCGAGGTAGTTAACATCTCCTAGCCACCGTTATGATGATGAGAGAGAGACACGCAAACTCCAAATATACAGCAGCAGGCGTCAGGGTCTGGATCGAACCCACGACCTCCTGTGTACCAGGCGACGGAGTTAACATCTCCTAGCCACCGCGATGCCCTGCACGTCGCCGCAATTCCCCGAAGGCCGTATTTTATTTCAGACGTTGTCGTGTGTAAGCCGCGATCGGGACTGGGTGGGTGTTTGTGGTTATTCATTGAAGCCAGACAGGGGTCCCAAAAAGCACGTCGATGGGCCGAGTTCCATCGCCACGCGCGCGTGGACAGGTCGCCCCCCTGAAAAACTACATATCCGACAGCTCTGCGGGCTTCACCTGCTAAAACAAAACAGCTGCACGTCTGACACGAGAGAGTGGACCGAGGGGGCGGAGTGGAGGGGGGGGGGTGGCATTGGCGTGGCGGCGAGAGACGACGGCGGTGCGGGGTGGGTGTTCGCGACGGTGAGCGGTGGCGGTGGCGCGTACCCTCAGGAGGCTCGTCCATGGGCGGGGAGAGGCAGTACATGTGGTAGCCCCGGTCACAGTCGTCGCAGAACAGCAACTGCTCCTGCCAAAGGGGTCGGCAGGTCACCGGGGGTCAAACGGCAAAGAGCGACCGGCGTCTGCGCCACGCGCGGACACGCGCACCGATACCGAGAGCAACGGCCGCGGTTTGCCACTGAGCGACGGTGACGTCACCGGGCACTCATTTGAGGCTGAGTCGACCTCTATCCGGTCGAACAAAAGCAGTGGGGGGGCGGAGCGGTTGGGGGGGGGAGCAGTGGGGGGGGGAGCGGTGGGGGGGGGGAGCGGTGGGGGGGGGAGCGGTGGGGGGGGAGGAGCGGTGGGAGGGCGGAGCGGTGGGAGGAGCGGTGGGGGGGGAGTGGTGGGGGACGAGGAGCGGTGGGGGGGGGGGGGGGTCCTCACGTCGTTCTCGGATGTCCCGCAGAGGCTGCAGCTCTTGCACTCGATGCACTGCCAGCGATAGACACGCACCGCCGCACGCATGTTCTCCGTGAACTGCAGGCACGTGGGGTGGCCTGCGTGGTGGGGACACGCGCACACACACACGCGCACGCACGCACACGCGCGCACGAGCAGGCAGCGCACACACGCACACACACACGCGCAGCCAAGACTCACGCACCCACACGCACACCCAGCACGGCACGCAGCACCCACCGTGGCACCCCGCGCGGCACGCGCGCGCGGGGCCAAGCCACGGGCTTCTCCACCGCGCCCCGCTCCTCCGACTCCGGTCTCCTCCTCCTCCTGCTCGCTCCCAAGATGCACCACCACCACCGCTCCACCACCACCACCACCGCTCCACCACCATCACCACCGCTCCACCACCATCACCACCACCACCACCGCTCCATCACCACCACCACCACTCCACCACCGACGTCGGTGGGACGCCTTTTTAATGTTTACAACGATCGCCAGCGGCGTCGTTCGGCATGAGGTCCGACGTTTCGCTCCCGCGTTCACCGGGAGAAATCCTTCGCCAACTGGGAATTCTGAGCGGCTCACTTGGGTGACGCGCCGGGTTTTTTGCCGGTCGGTTGCTGCTGCCGCCGCCGCCGCCGCCGCCACCGCCGCCGGTTCTTGATGGATGATCGATCGGCTCGGATCTCTCCGGGCGCCGGCCGTCATGCCGAACAGCGCAAAGTACGCGAGCGGCACCGGCCCCCCCTTGACACCTCGGGGCCCCCCGGCTGGAAGAGGCTTCTCGTCCGTCGTGCGCGGTGCGATTTGCGGCCTCCAAACGCCGCGTTTTAGTCACTGGCGGAGCCAGTGGGGGGGGGGGGGTGGCACGTGCCCCCCCCCCAATGATCCGATCGAAATCCCTAATTTCGATCGGATCATTGGGGTTTATTAGTAATAAATCGGTATTTTGCGACCCCTACTGCCACTGTGTAGCATATTATTACATGCCAGGGACTCTATGAGATGATAGGACAATAGTCTGAGTTCACAATTGGCAATAAGTAACGGCAAAGCAGTTTTAAGTGACTCAGAATTGTGCGCAGTTGCGTAAACAGAGTCCACGACTTCCCTGAAGGCATTCACCTTCAGCGAGCGCGATGCCGATCACGTGGATTTATCTCTGGGGCCCTCCGGTTTTTCCCCCCTCATTTAGAATCGGCGTCACTCGCTTAGAGTGTTTGGCTGGGGTGAATCAGAGGTCGCAAACGGGTTTTGATTCCTTACCCGTACCCGTGCCCGGCCGCACCAGGGTCGCAAACGGGTACCCGTACCCGGCCGGGTACGGGTATCGGTACCCGCTTGCGACCTCTGGGATGAAGCCATGTTGCAGGCGCGGGTGGGTTGATTCTAGGAACTTGAATTGTGAGAAGAGACAAGACGTTGGGAAATGAGTGACAAACAGTTACTCACCAGTGACTCATGGCTTACCCGTACCCGGCCGCACCAGGGTCGCAAACGGGTACCCGTACCCGGCCGGGTACGGGTAGCCGGGTATCGGGTAGGGTACGGGTATCGGGTACCCGGTTGCGACCTCTGGGGTGAATAGCCACGTGACGATAAGCCACTTCTGCCATCAGCGGCGAGTGCCATCCGAATGAGTCTCTGGGCTCGTGAATTGCTGACGTGGACATCTGACGTGGACATCTGACTTGGTGAAACCAGAGCTTCGCAGCTCATCGGATTCATGCCGGGTGAAGAAAAATCAAGATTCTGAAAAAAACGTTCCAACTTCACCAACACGCGAGAGTGGATACGTACGGTCAACGACACTTCCCAGCGGATAAAACTATCATCGATTTTTATTTTATTTCGCCAGGAAAGGCCCCGCTGAGCTACGTAGCTATCTGTCAGAAGTTGAGCCTGGCCGTCACAAACGATGGCTCAACGAAGCGGTGGCTTGTCACGTGGACATTTATAGTAGTAGCCAAATGCTCTCGAAATGCACGTTCATATCATCATCATCATCACGTGGACATTTATAGCAGCAGCGATGTCGATTCTAAATGTGGAGGTACAAAACCCGGAGACGAATCCATGGGTTGGGATCGAACTCACGGCCTCCTGAATACCAGGCGAGGTAGTTAACATCTCCTAGCTACCGTGATGATGATGAGATAGAGACACCCAAACTCCAAATATACAGCAGCAGGCATCGTCAAGGTCGGGATCGAACCCACGGCTTCCTGTGTACCCGGCGAAGTAGTTAACATCTCCCAGCCACCGCGGTACCCTGTGTGAATCACTGTATGGCAGTGGGGGAGGGAGGGAGGGAGGGGGGTGGGAGGTTGGGAGGGAAGGAAGGGGGTGGGAGGGTGATTGTTCAGACGGCCGTGATTGGAGTGGAGTGGGGGGTTGCGAATGGGGCCGAGCGGTTGGGGGAGACGCTGCAGGAACTGCGGACGCAATGTTTGGGCATGAGACACACACAGGTACTCGCACACGGGTACTCACACATGGGTACACAAACCCGTACACACGCGGGCACGCACACGCGTACACACATGGGACACACGCGGGTACACATACTGGTACACACACATGGGTACACAAACCCATACACACACGGATACACACGCGGGTACACACACAGATACACAAGAGTACACACATGGGTACATACACGAGTACACACTAGTGACGTGCGGGGAGGCACTGGCTCGTGTCAGAGCCAGATTCACACACTGAGGGGGCGTGGCTTCACTGAGGGGGGCGTGTTAGACACGTCCCCCTCAGTGAGGCAGATGTGATAGCTGCCTCCCCTGGTGCTTTTTCATTGCAGTTTCATGACGAGACCAGCGAGCCTAAATATCTTGATACACGCACGTGAAATAAGTTACCTGGAGTATGGAAGGCGAGGACATGAAATGAAGGGGTTTACAAACATTACACTGGTGACATACTGAGATAGTAACAGGCACGCGCTTATTGCCCGCGCTCCATCCAGTTACTTAGGGGTTGCGCAATCAGAGGGGAGGCTGAGCTCGTCGCTGCCTCACCTCTCGTCTCTCCTTGTATTTGCAGCGAAGCTCCACAAATTTGGCGATTTTGACTATAAAAATGATTGGAATCGTACAGAAATGACATTTATAACAAAGGTCAGTGGAAATATCTTAATATTTATTTTATTTGATTATTCTTTTTTTTTACTTTTTGTAACAGCTGTTTTCATTGGAGTATGACAGGTGAGGCTCTGCATTCCCTGCCTCCCCTGACCGCACGTCCCTGGTATACACACGGGCACACACACGGGACACACACATGGATACTCACACGGGTACACACACGGTACAAACATGAGTACACACACATGGGTACACACACATGCATTCTCCATTCAAGGTGGAACCAAAAAGGCAAACCAAAACGAAAACCAAAAATACCAACACGCAAGGCTTGTGTCCATTCAACAACCATCTCTTTTATTTTTCTGCATAAATTATAATAGAGAGAGAGAGGAGAGAGAGAGGAGAGGAGATAGAGAATGAAAAATAAACGAAAATAATAATAACAAAAACCCTCAACCGGCCGAGACACACCGCGAGAAGAGGGAAAAAAATATATTTTTAAATTCACCGCGAACATGGGAGCTGTGACATTCAGACAGCGAGCGGGTGCAGGCGTAACAACCGAGAGAGCGAGAGAGAAAAACGCGCGCAAAAAAAAAACTTAAACCGGCACCGTCGGACGAGGCTGCACCTAACGAAGGCAAAGACAGGGACGGACGGACGGACGGCGACTTAGTCGTCCTTCAGAGATTTTGGTCTTTAAAATTCGGCGCCGGGTCAGCGAGCGCTGTCCACGTGACCCCCGCGGCGCTCGGGGGGAGGATGTGAGTCGACTTGAGAGATGCGGCGAGAGTTTGCCGCACAAGTGGCCGTCACATCATCATCATGGCTGCTGCTACTACTACTACACGAATCATCCCGACACCGCCACCACCACCATCGCAAGAGAGGAATTAGGGGGAGGGGGGCGGGAGGCGGTGGTGGTGGTGGTGGGGGGGGAACTTTCGGGATGGCAGCGCTGCGTTTTAGATTGTTAGTGATGCTGTCGGTCGTGTCGATTGTTTAGCACGCCGATCGGTGATTCTCACGGCACCGGCAGCCGCGGGGACTGAACGACGGAACGGGATTGGAGACGTTAAATCGGCACTTGCCGAGCGAGAAGCAAAGAACGCCACTGGGGAGCAATGCACAGTAGGAGGGGGGGGGGGGCAGCATTTATGGCTTGTACGTCATGTGCGTTGTCAGCCCAAAAGAAGAAAAATAAACAATTGTTATTCCTCGTCAACTCGCAACTTTCTGACAACTTTCGTTCGTGTACAAACATTTAAAACGAGGGCACGGTCTCCGGACAGATTCTATCCGGAACACACAAGAGACGTGGGGGGGGGGACGGGGGGTGGGGGTGGGGGGGGGGTGACTGGATTCCATCAGGGCCCAACCGCAGCAGCAGCCCGCTCTCCGCCTCCGCGAGATTCACGTCAGAAATTGTAATTCATTCGGATGTCGTTCAAAAAGAAGAAATCTTCATCGAAGCCGAGGATCGTCGAGCCGTTGCCGTCGAAGTGGCCAAACGCCTCGCCGAGCGCCGCGCCGCGACCCCCTCCGGCTCCCCCTCTGGCCCGGCCCCCGCCTGAGGCCCGGCGGCCCCGGGTGGACGTGCCCCCCCGGGCGGCGGCGGCGGCGGCGGCCCCGCCGCGCGGCCCCCCGGCCCACCACCTACGGGCCCGACCACCCCCCCGGCTCCGCTGGCTTCCGCGTGGCGCGTCCGCCCCCGTGCCACCAGCTGGGCCCAGTCGGCACACCACACACGCCCGGGATCGCCGCGTTACCGCCGGGATGTGGCGGGGGCCCCCCGGCACGCCGCCCCCCCCCCCCCCCCCCCGTCCCCGAACCTGACCCCCCCCCCCACCGACCGCCCCCCACGTGACACGCCGGATGGCAATTTGAAGGGCCGCGATCGTCGCCGCCGCCGCGAGACTCGTCCCGAGCGGTTGGCGGTGGCGAAGGGGGGGGGGGGGGGGGCGGCAGTTGTGGGGGGAGGGGGGGGGCAGAGAGAGAAACGACGAAGACGAACGGGGGGGGGGGTTCTGTCCGGGGGGGTCAAACGAAGACAAGAGGAGCGCGTCTCGGGGGGAGGGACAGGGGGGGGGGGGGATATGGGGGGGTCGGGGTTGTGTGACCTCTGCCTGCTATGTGATTGGATGTCGCCGTCCCCCGGTTGCCTGGGGGGGGGGAGAAGGGGGGGGGGGGGGCCCTCGTTTGGGCGACCGGAATCGC